TTATTATTATTATACAAGAAAGTGAGGTATAAATAATTACTCATGTAAATAAGGAACAGAAACATTTGAAAAGTTAATTGATTCTTGTGCTTCCAATGCATCTACCTATTTTTACTTTTATTTTTTAAATATTATTAACACCAACAATAGTAATGATAATGATTTTAGTTTTGATAATGTATTGGGTGTAGAAAGCAGGTTTTATTGGCTTTATTTTCTGACTTTTGAAAAAAAAAATGTTTTTTTCCACATGATGTTTTATTGTCATCATACTTTGTTTTAGTTTTAGTTTTTTTTTAATAACTGGCTTCATTGTGTTGGTTCCTGTGTATTTATTCCGTCTTTGTGAGGACTCATTTGAGTTCCAGCTCTTGGGCGTGAGCGCATTTCTTGGAAAGTAAGATCTTCACACTCCGACGCACCTTCGACACGTTTGACATTTAATTTTCAGGTTCTGCTTAGAGTCACTTGGGGTAAATGTAATCGTTGTGTTTGGCCGGTGGCGGGTTAAAGGAATGAACTGAGTCCTCACAAAGATAGACATCCAGACGTTCGGGTGTGTGTTTTATCTCTCCGGAACGCGCCCGCCCTTCAGCATACGTCACCGGTGAGGCGCGTGTGCGTGCTTCCTTCTCCAGAGTTGTAGTTGAAGCAGCTCATCAGCGTTTAGCTTCGCTGCTAAATTAGCCGCTAACTGGCTTCCACCGCTGGATAGATCATCGCTGTCACCCCCCTGTGTTCGGAGAGGAGTCCATCTTCTGGCGAGGTAGCATTAAAACTCAGCTTCCACCACTTATTTCTCCCACGAAGCTAAAAATAAACAAACGAGCCAGCGCTAAGTGACAGTTAGCTGCTGTTAGCTAGGTCGGTAGCCAACTCTAACATCAGTTAATTAGCTTTTTTAAAACACTGAGTCCTCCCTGATATGCAGCGTAAAGTCAGTGTGGCTTCTGTACAGTTTGTTGTTGTAATGTTTTAGTAAAGTCGAGCTGTTTCTGCTCTGCTGGGATGGTTTTTGTGGATCACCATTCGAGGATGGAAACATTTACTGTGCTATTACTCAGAGCCTCAGTGTGACAAGCCCACAGTGTTTGACAGCTTGTGTAATCGGTTGTTATAACTACATAACAAAGCTGATCAGTTGTTTCTTTTTTCTATTTAGATCATGTCAGATTTCTCGGTGAGTTCAAATGATCGTTCAATTTCACATTAATTTATGGTACTAGTAGTGAAATAGGTCTTTTGTTTCAGATGGAGAGTCACTTTTTCTTTTCTCTTCTCCTGTAGCTGCTAGATGCCTTAGGAGATGATGCTCCAAGCCAGGCAAAGAAAATAGGCAACACTAACCCGACAGCCCCTGCCGGCAACCCTCCACCTGCTGCAAACCCAGGATGGCCTGGTTCAGCCCCAGGAGCTCCCACCCAGCCCACTGCTCCGGTCGACTTCGCTGGAGGATCATCTGGCCCAGGGGCACCAGGGCAGTTTCCCTTCCCCTCCGGTCCTGGAGCACCAGGGCAGTACCCAGGACCTCCTTCAGCCCCCGGTGGGTTCCCCCCGGGTCCTGGGATACCTGGACAGTATCCAGCACCAGGAGCTCCGGGGCAGTTCCCCTCCAGCCCCGGGGCCCCTGGGCAGTTCCCTGGGCAGTATCCGCCTGAAGGCGCTCCAGGACAGCTACCTGGAGGTCCCGTTCCCTACCCAACCGGACCATTTGCTTCAGGCCCTGGAGCTCCCCCTGGTCCTTATCCAAATGTGCCTTTCCCTGGTGGTCAGCCGGGAGGCGGCAATGGCATGTATGGACCAGGTGGTCCAGGCGCATTCCCCCCTCCAGCTGGCCCTGGCTCTTTCCCTGCATTCCCAGCTGGAGGTTTCCCCCCAATACCACCTGGGTCCTGGGGACCACCTGCAGGTGGAGGCTTCCCCCCTGCCCCTGGCAGCTTTGGTCCTGGTCCAGGGCCCATGGCTCCATATGGTGGCCCTGCTGCTCCAGGAGGCTCGCTGGTGAGTACTCGTACTTTGTACAAATATCATGTTGCTTGCTTGCTGCATTTCTTTGCTGCTGTGTTTTTGCTGTTTGTGTCCAGTGGAGCATCTGTGTTTGTGGGGTATGCTTGTAAATTTACTAAAGGTGGTAGAGAGACAAAGTGAGTTTCCTGCCTCTGCTGTTGGGATTTACTGCAAGAGGGTTAGTTTTCAGTGAGGGCTCTATCTGGATCATTGCTGTTTCTGTGTCTTGGGCTCCGCTGTGGTGCAAAGCAAATATAAAGCCGGATCACTAAATATTCAAAAGTAGTTATCAAAAATGTATTCTTGTCTTTCAGCCCAGATATAAACCACCATTTTATTGAAAGCAATGAACTCAACTTTTCAGTCGGACAAGGACATCACTTCCAGAATCAACATGTGGTTTGATTAGTGCCAAAGACTGAACTTATACAACACACAGTACACAGTTATAGATGTGTTCAATCTGCTGGATGTAACTTTTTAATTAAGTGCAATATGATGAAATCTACACTTGTATTACACACATGTTTACCGTATTAAGACATCTTTGAAATCATTGTGATTAAGCGATTTGGTTTAAGCCTGACTTGTTGCTTATGTACATGTTTAGCATTAAAGGTCTCTTTTTGTCACTTTGTGCAGCTGATAGCTTGACTTACTTTTCTGTCGTTAGCTTGGCTAATCGCTGTGACTTGCATAACAGTGCTGAAATAAAGAAGGAGAAAATGAGTCATGGAGGTGTTGCTGTGGGAATGTGGGCAGGGTCAAAGTTTTGTCTAATATTTAACTAAAATTCTCATTAAGCACTTTGTCGTTCATTAACAAGTTCAGACCATTAGTGATAAAATGCACATCTACTTCTGTCCCCGGAGATGTTATTATTAACAGGGTAAACACCATTTTTATTTGTGTATTTTTCTTGTAAAGGCACAATCAGAAATGACCAGAGCACAGCAAATGCATTGTCTTGGCTTAAAAATGTAAACCTTTCTTGCAGATGGTGCCATATGATCTCCCGCTTCATGCTGGAATGATGCCGCGACTTTTAATCACAATAATCGGGGAGCCTGTTCCTGGTGCAGACAGGTACAAACAACAACATTTATCCTCTATGTCGGCTGCAGGCGACGCTTTCTATTAGAAACAAGACAGATGAATTTATAATTAAAAATTGTCCAGCTATGCTCTCTTTTATTCAGATATATTGAGAATATCTATTTGTTGACAGTGACACAAGGCGTTTGGCCTGCAGAATGAGAATCCAAAGTTGTCATCATTATAGTTACTTATGTGTTCAAGCCATGTTTTGTTAATTGGATAGAGACTGATTGTGTCTCAGCAGCATCTAATTTTCTCAATCTTTGGTTGTTTTTTTTTAACTGCAGGTTCAATGTTGACTTCATCAAAGGTTCAGATGTTGTCTTTCACTTCAACCCTCGATTCGGCGAGCAAACGATTGTCAGAAACTCCAACCTCGGTGGATACTGGGGTCCAGAGGAGCGGGAAGGAGGCTTCCCGTTTGTTCAGGGGCAACGTTTTGAGGTAACACTACATGTAACAGTGCAGCTTGAAATTCAAGACGTTGCACATTTTTGTAACTTTTTGTTTTTAATTGATGGATGTGTGACAGTTTACACCTTTAGCATCCCTATAACAATCAGGGCTTTAGTGACCTTATGTAGTACCCACTGTGGAGTTCTAATGAGCCAGAATACGTGAACTTATCAGTGAGATTTTGCAAAAGCCTTTAAGATGAGACAAATTCATTTCAGGAAAATGTTAGAGCAGGTCAGTCAGCAGGGGAGGAAGGGTAGAGGTGGTGTTTGCAAGCCCTGTGTTTCACACAAAGTGTTAAACGTGACTTTAACTCACATTTTATGTTTATTGCTACACAGTTAGTCAAAGGTAAATACTGGAACCTGACTAATCACACAGTGTTTGGTGTATCAGTGTTTCAGTGCTTATACATATCAGTGCAGCATTGTAGAATACTAGGCTTTGTGCAATTGTTTGTCTGAGATGCTAGTGTTTATTGCCATTAAAACTTTAAATTTTGTAGCAGGACAACATTGTGTTCAGCATTTCTCTCTTTTCAAGTTTATCGTCCACATTCAGGTTGATATATGTGTGGTTCCTGTTGATAGGAGAAGAATTAGTCCATGTCCACACTGATACAGGCGTTTCTTTAGATGGATATTTTCCATATAAAAATATATAAAGCTGTCTATATGACCATCATTTTGCAAAATATTCCTGTACACAGCTAACGCTCTAACAAGCATGCCGGGCCAGTCTCCATCAACGATAAATCAAATACCAGAAAACACTGTCGTTTTATAGTTTCTGCAGACTTTAAACTAAAGATGCTCTCGATCAAGTAGTACAGGCCACAGCAAAGGCTTTAGGATGAGGGTGCAGCAAAGTAACTTTTAAACCTAAAGAAATCAGCCATTATCGTCGTCTCTGTTTCAGGCAAATGCTCATTACACAAAGCGACGGACGATCTAAAATTGCAAATTGAGGTGTAAACTCTTCATGTTACACGTCCACACAAATACAAATAATGTGGAGAAACACATTGTTGTTTGTTTCAGTGAGTCTGTGTGGTTGAGTTGGTTGATTTTTCTCTGGTTTCCCTGACATGTTCCAACAGAACCATTCCTCAGATACTTTATCAGAAATGGTTTAAAACAATTAAATAATTACAATATGTTCGACTGTACAGTTTCAAACAAATGTATGTTCATTTTTACAACTCACTCTAATATTCATGACACTACATTGACATGAAACCACAAACTTTCATGAATTTGTGACGCAACAATCTGCTAGAAAACATCAAATATCAGTTTGGTACCAGACAATGAGCTGCTCAACAAAACAGACGTAGTGCGCTTTGAAATTAAAGTTAATTATTTAAAAATGTCATGTTTCGACACAGTTTTTCCTCAAACTGGAAATCGTTTGAAACAATTGCAATTATTTTTACAACTTGCTGGATTATAAGGAAGGAAGGAAGGAAGTAGTGACGACAAAATTAGTTAGAAAACATATAAAAAGTCACAATGTTTTATATCCGTAAGTTTAAAGGTCAAGTCAGAAGATCAGAATCAGAAATACTTTATTGATCCCTGAGGGGGAAACTGCTTATGTTACAGTTGCTCCCATTCAAAGTCAGAAATGTAAACAGTACAAAATATATAAACATAAGTAGATAATATGACCTACAAATATAAACACGAGTTGAAAAAAACGTGTCCTAAAAGTAGAAACAGTATAAGCACAATGTGAAATGTGCTTTTCCGAAGAAATGAGACTCTAACATAGAGTGTGTCAAGTAGTGATGAAGGAGAAGATGAAGAAAACCAGCAAATCCTTCAATTTGAGAAACAGGAAGTGCTTTATTTGTTTACTTTAATGTCACTAGAAGTAAAAGTAGCTGTTTGGTTTCCTGTCAGTCGAGCAGCAGATGAATAATTTTCTGTCTGTGAATCTTTGTGTCCCTGCAGCTGAAGATCCTGGTGGAGGAGGACATGTTCAAGGTGGCCGTGGACGGCACCCACCTGCTGGAGTACGAGCACAGAGTGGGCGGCCTGGAGGAGGTGACTCTGGTGCGAGTGGTCGGAGACATCATCCTCCACAGCGCCGCCCCGAGCATGATCTGAGTCCGTCGCACCGGAGCCCGACGTCAAACTTTAACCGATGTGTTTGAAATCTTTTCAGATACTTTTGATGGAGTTTGAGAGGCACTATGAGTCAGCGAAGTGCAATCGTTGCCCACATGGCACATTTATCGCAGAACAGATGGCAGATTAACCCAGGTCTGCACTCTTTAATCCTTGTTTCTTTTACTTTTTTTTGTTTTTTTTTTACTGGATGACATCTCATTTCATAGCCACTCACAACCCAAATATATTTTCTGACATGATAGTATTCAAGTAGTGAATGGGCTGAAGTAAAACAGATATTTTCAGAATGAACTAATTTATACCTAATGAGAAGATTGTAGGTTACGTGGAAAAGTGTCCCAAACATTTCTTCTGTTTTCCACTAGAATGCTGTTCAGTTTACATGTACGTTTATGATTCTGTCCGTTATATCAGACCATGATAAGCCTTTCGTAATGCATGAGAGTGTGATGCTGAAAGTCAACTTCCTTTTCACCGTTTTTACTTCAGTGCTGGTCGACCCCCTTCCGAGACTCGCCGGCCTGTTAAAGCACAGTATGACGGGAGTTTCTGAAAATGTATTTATATGCCGACTCTCCTCCTGAGCTCTCGGACTGGAGGGCCGCGTGACGTTTTTGCGAATTATGATTTCATGTTGAAGTCGAACCCGATAGCTGTAAAAAAAGAAAAAGAAAAAGAGGCTTGAAAGAAAAATGTGGCAAAATGAAGCGGAGGGACGATGGTGGTGGTGGGGGGTCTCTGATTTGTTGCCAAAGATACCAGTGGTACAGTATTTAGAGATTATAAATAAAAGGGCAACAAACAAATAATGACTGATAAAAGCTGTTTGATCCAGAATGTTGTACTTTTCATGAGCTACCTGCCTGCACACAATAAATACTGGTTTCCCTGTTTGCTCTCTTTGTTATTGAACAGTGAGACAAATGTCATCTTTTGTTCGCAGTCACAATTTCAGAGTTTGGGAGATTATTTTCCGATTAGATTTAGATGCAAAGAGTCTTTTTTGCATTTACAATACAAGTAAAATATCGCTCAATTATTTTATGATTTTATACTCCGACATTCTGTTTTTCTCAATACATATATACGTTTTTTGCTTAAAGCTGTCATTAAAATCTGTTATACTACACAGCTTCAAACAAATATATATACATAGTTAAAATATATTTATTTATTATGCAAAATTACCACAAAATCCTGACTTTTTTTTTTTTTTTTTAGCAGACATCACGATGATTTTGTGACTTGAATAATCTGGACAATGAGCTGGGCCACATAATACACACACTGTACCTTGAAATTAAAGTAAAATATTTACATTTTTCATGTTCTGACACAGTTTTCCTCAAAAACTACCTGATTACGTTCTCTCAAACTTCTTTGTTTAAATCGCTTGATTACTTACCATGCTCAATTGACAAGAAACCCTTCACCAGAGACACTCCGAAAGTAATAAAGTTAGCATTAATTGTTTTAAGTTAGAATGTTCTGACACAATATTTTTCTTTAGGACACCTTTTAGAACAATTGTATATCTGATTCCAGTCTTGCTTGATTATTTGTTGGGACAAATTGACATGAAACTATGAACATTTTCACCAAAAACATCACAGCAATGAATTTGTGACTCAAAAAAACAAATCTGTTAGAAAACAACACAATGACCTGCGCCGCATAAAACACATACAGTCGTCCTCCAATGTATTCATACCCTCATATTAAAGACGGAAAAAAACAGGTGTCACTGAAATAAGCTGAAACTGACAAAAGTAATAATAAATAATGTAATGAAAATCATGACATTGCTTTTGAATTGTGGTTCAACAGAAATATTTAATTAAAAAAAAACAAAAACAATCATGATGGGACACGTAAACTAATATTTAGTTGAACAACTCTTTGAGCCAATCACTGCCATCAAGTGTTCTCTGTAACTGTTCACAGGTATTTGGATTTTTTTTTTTTTTATATATTTTTTTTTTTTTTTTTTGGTTTTTTTTTTTGTTTTTTAATTATTCTTTTCAGCCACAATTCAAAAGCAATGACTTATTTCACTAAATTATAATTTGGCACATTTTTATTCATTATTTCTTTTTCTAGTTATTTGAGTGACTATTGTGAATTTTGCCTTTTCTTTGATGGAAGGTTATGAATCAATCTGAGGACGACTGTACTTCACCCTGAAACTAAAGTCAAACATTTCAAATCTTCCTGGCTTTGTGTCTTAAACCCTCCACCCAGCAGCTCCATCAGCTCCTTCCTGCTGTGTCACAGGTCGACCTGCCGCACTTCCTGTTTCCGCCGTCAGGGGGCAGCACGGCTTCAGACGCCGCTGAGCGCCGGAGGAAGCAAAATCGAAACTCCTCAATGAGTTCACCTTCACAGAAATAGTTTGTCCCTCTTCTCCGCGCGCCTTCTTTTTCTTCTTCTTCTTTTTATTCTCCGTCGTTTGGTGTCTCGGCACAATGAACGGCTCCCTGCACTCCGACGTGGTGGACATTAAGCTGAAGCGAGGACCGGCCGGTAAGCGGACGCTGCTAGCTAACTTAGCCAGCTAGCTAGCTACGTAGCAGCGAAAAGTCAACGCTGTCAAGCCGCTCAGTCTCCTCAAGCTAAAGGCTAATTTGCGTGTATTACTCACTGAGCCTCGTTTTATGTCGTGTTAACGTGTGTACAAGTGGAGACATTAGGTTGTGGACGTCGCTACAGCTGCAATAAGTGAGTTTAGTGTAAAAAAAAGCAGTGATTTATTCGCTTTGACGCTGAGTTAAAAGCTGTAAAAGTGACATTTCCAGTCTGGCCTTTCACAGTTTCTCCATTCAAACCTTTATTTAGCTTCAATGTGTGGCTCGTTATGTAACATTCAGGAGAGCTGCAGTTTCTTCCAGCGTTGGAAGGATTCCTCCTGCACTTTGGTCCACTGAGATAAATGTGATGTTTGGATCAGCAGCTCTTGTCCTTGTGTGTCATGGATTTTACTCAAAAGTCTGTTTGTCTGTTTGTTTGTTTTTTCCAGGTTTGGGGTTCAACATCGTTGGAGGTGTGGACCAGCAGTATGTGGTGAATGACAGTGGTATATATGTGTCCAAAATTAAAGAAGATGGAGCAGCAGCGTTGGATGGAAGACTCCAAGAGGGCGACAAGATACTGGCGGTAATAAATGCTGATGGTTATCAAGGATGTGACATGTAGTTAAAACAAAGGTGACGAGAGGGTTATGATATCAGACAGGCAGCGACAGAACGATGAGCGAAACATCAAGACAAGATAAAACTAGTAGAATCAAATCCTGAAATAAAATAGAAACGGGCAAAACAGGGCAGCAACTTGTGCAAGCCATTTAGAAAAATGTAAATATGAATTATGAAACCCATTAGGAGCAGCGAAAGCCACTGAAAACATGTGCGTCTTGAGTTTTTCTTGCAAATATCAATTGAAGAGGAAACACTAAAACAGGCAAAACAAGATCTGAACTTTTATGATCCATTTTTACCAAAATAAATATGAAATATTTAGACTATTAATTGCAGCCAAAGTCAGTAAAAACATGTGCATCTGAGTTTTTCTTGAAAATAACAAACACTAAAACAGGCAAAACATCAAAACAGCTTGTAAGGTCCATTTAAAAACATTTAAATGTGAAACATTAGAACCATTAGGAGCAGCCAACAGCAATTGAAAACATGCGACTTGAGGTTATTCTTGAAAATATCAAAGGGAGAGTGAACACTAAAACAGGCAAAACAGGAAAACAACTTCAAGATCCATTTCTAAAACAATAAATATAGACCATTAAGAGCAGCCAAAAGCCAATAAAAACATGTCCGTGTTGTGGTTTTACCTGGAAAAACAATAATTGAGGAGGAGCATTTGACTGAAAGAGGAACTTCTATTGAAAAGGCTCAATCTCCCTTCTGTACCTTGAATTAATCACGATAAGATGTTTCATTTCAGTAGATGTATTATCATTATTAATACATTTAAAGCTCAGATTAAAATGAGAGGTCTGTACTACGGAGCAGGATTTGATCTTATTGAAGTGGTCGAACTGGTTTTTCAGGGCCATGATGGTGGTTTACTTCTTAACAGGCGGCATCATCATAATAACGTCCGCTGAACATTTAACCTGCTGCAGAGAAAGTTATGTTGAAGATAGCAGATCAGCTCCTACTGACCCATCCATAGTGCTGTGACAGTGTTTCAAAGCCATGTTTTAGGTCTTTATATGTCGATGTAATCCTAAAACAGAGACTCATAAAGCACTAAAGCCTTGTGCCTCTTGACTTTATAGGATTTGCACTAAATCTGCTGATTATGTTTTTATATCTGTCCTTTTCTTTCCCCCCCAAAACTGTTTAACAACAAGAAGCAGCTGACACAATGAGGCTGAAACTGTCTTAGACTTATAGGATTATCCCAGTGAATGTGTGATTATGAATTCATCCTCCACATCGACATGGAAATTATCTTTAATACTTGATTATTTGTTCTTTTTCCGTGCGTAGCATAGTGATACTACATCTGTCATTTCGTCATATACTCGTGTTGAATCATGATCATTTGGCTCGAGGTTGAGTTAGAAGCTTCCATGTGAGCAATTTATACATTCTTTTGTCCATTCATGCCTTACATGAGACAGTGATAATGAGTCTGTTAACTTGTCTTCACACAGTTGGCAGGTTTTTTTTTTGCAGCTTTCCTTCCTGGTGTCGGCTGCAGCAGCTGTATTGCTTTCATCCTGTGCTGTATTTTAGAACTCCTCCTGTTGATTTAGGAGTATAGTTTGTTCCTCCAGACCTGTCCATGTTTGGGATCTTGCCAACGTTCATGCAAACACGATCAGAGCTTCAGTCAGAAGCGTGTTGAGCTTCATGGTACAGGCCTCTGCAGTAGAAACTTTAGCCTACTTGTCAAGGTAGAAATAATACACAACAATGAAAAGAAAAGAAGGAGCTACGGAGAGCAAAGAGGCTCCATTACACCCGGAGCTTGTTTATGGAACCAAACGTGGTGTTTTTGTTTCGTACTTCCGTTCCAGCTTCTACGTGCTGCATTTAGGTGAAACTGTCAAACTGTCTTCGTCTTGCTATCGATGTAGCGTCTGTCCTTGGTACATGTAGCTCACTTTTTATCACCCAGGGCATGTAGAGAAGGGATTTAGATAATTTGTTTGCCATCTATAGCAGAACCACACTCATAAATAATAAATGTTTGGTTCATGCTCTCTTTAAACCTAAATCTGCTCTTTTTTTTTTAATAATCCAACAACTTTGCGAGGGATTTTTCAAGCAGAAAAGCCGCCTGTTCCCCTGTTGCAGCCTCTCAGTTGCAATTATTTGCTGCTTCTCTTTGCGTTAAAGATAAAAACTGAAAATCAAAAACGGCAATTAGACAAATTCACTTGGGGATTTTACTGTTAGTCTGCAGCAGAGGATCTCAAACTTATTACTCAAAGATCAACATATAAAGCAATTTTTAAAAAATCTATCTCCAAAAGACTGCTTGAAAAGTCTCATAATGTGGAGCAGTAAAGGTGTTCTTTGGGTTTCTGAAGAAGTGTATAAGCATGAGGTTTGAGTACGAGATGTACAGACATGTAGAACGTATGAGTTAATAGGTTAAATTATTTTTAAGTTTGTGGATTTCTTTTTAGATTTTGTGGTATTGTAGCATGTCTGACATAAATCAAATTAAAAAGATCTGCATCAGAATTCTATTCAAGGCCAGAGGTCCAGGTTGACTTTAGTTTGGCTGCATACCAAGGTCTGGACTTTGAAATGCCCTCGTGGGCTGATTAATCGAAAGTGAAACTAATGATTAACTGCAGTCCAGCAAACTATTGATTAAAGGTGATTTTTTTTTCTTAATTTCATGTGGGTGCTGTAGATAAACGGAGTCGTACTGGAGGATCAAACACACAAAGCTACGGTGGACCTGTTCAGGACTTCAGGGGAGGACGTGGAGCTCCGGGTTCTGAAAAAGGTATTTCTTTATTTAAATAAATTCTCCACCAGAACTTAAAACTGTACGCAGCCTCACCAAAAACATTAAAGCAGCACCAGAATGTGCAACAGACAGAACAGTGTGGTTTACTACACACTATCACGGTATAAATCAAAGTACATTCGCAAAGATGAACACATAAACTAGTGTCAGGTATAAACTCTGAGAAGCTGATTGTCCTGGAGCACCTCCCAGTGTGTCTCCAACTGAGAGCATGAAGGTGAAAGTGGTGACACAAAACAGAAGTGAAACCAGGAGATGATTTCACTGAGGTGTTAAACCACTCAACCCCTGAAACACTTTGCCTCAGATCAGTGTAGTTAGTGCATGTTTACCTAAGCAGTAGGCACTCTATCTGAAGTGGCATTTGCTTTATGGAATGGCACCTCTGGTCTTTTTCTCAGAGGGATGATGTTTTATTTTTATGATATTGACGGAGGTGCTTTTTGTGTAACGTCAAGGATTAGAGGTGAAGTCAGGCTGACATCGCTGCAAAATTCTACTGAACTAACTTCTTTACTGCAGTTACTTTTAATTTTTTTTAAATGAAAAACACATCTTTAAAAGTCAGACTTCTGTTGATTCAGGGACATTCGTGTAAATTGTGCCACCAGCAGTGAGTGGAGTGTGTCTTCTCTTCTTCTGTTGGTGCGATAAATTAAACATTTCTGACTGCAGCTTTAGCAAATCCAGTCTCACTCACAGTTTTTTTTTTTTTTTAAACTGTGTATGGTTTTCATTGTTATTTGTTCCTTGAAGGATGATCACAAAACAAACATGGCAGTCGCTTCATTTTAACACCCCATCCGTTTTGTTGTTTGCCTTTCCTCAACATGCATTCTGCAACACTTGCTAATTAAATGATCCTGAAGAAACGCTCTCTCATCTTGCCTGTACTACTGTGTATGTACAGCAAGATGCTAATAAACCTGATTTGATTTGATTTGATAATCTCTATTTTGACTGTGGCGGGTGCAGAATTTGAAATATTAGTGTTTATGTCAGAGAAGAAAAGTCGAATACTTTTTGTGTTTGTATAGGAAAGCAGAGAAAATTTCATCAGATGACTTGAATGATCTTGTTTGTAAATAATTATTCGTTCGAGAAAGTTTTGGTTGATTTTGTAGGGAAATGAATGAAAGGAAATAACTGTCTTTAAGTGTCTCCAGTTATCTGTAGTACCAGATTGTGCCACTAGGTGGAGCTTACTACTGTTTCATATGATAGAGACCTGAAGAAGCAGGTAGTTAGCATCAGCAGAGACCATAGTGGGGGTTCAGCCAGTAAAGTGGCACCATGAAGCTGTCTTCTGTGACACTTAATGACCTCTAGCCAGCACATGTGTACAAATCAAGCTGGAATTAACTAGATTATCTCTTCTATATGTCAGCGACATATGTAGTGGGCCCTTTTTCCAGACTAAAATGCAGCCACTGTGTTTTCAAACTAGAACAGTCACCGGTATTTCCAGAAGTCTCCCTTTTGGTGCTGTACCAGAGGAGGCAGGCAGAGAGTATTGTGGGTGTTTAGCCAGACGTGCACCACCATGAATAAGTCTTCTCTGGCGCTTAATGAGCTCCAGCCAGCGTACACGTGTTACAACAAGCTGGAATTAACTATGCTGGCATTTCTGTATCCTAGTGGCGACGCTAACAGATGGTTTTTCTGCACTGAACAGTTTTAATGTTTGTTTCTGTTTTCTGTCTTGCAGTCGCCGCGGCACATGAACGGACCCACCGGCTCGCAGCCGGATCATCAGTCTTCTTTGCCTTATCTGGGAATACTGGCAGCGCTAGTGGGGGCTGCCGCCACTGTTGCATTCATTTACATGCGGCGCAAGTAGGAAGCACTTTTAACGGTAGCCGACGACGTCTGTATTTTATTTTTAAGATCAAAAAAGAAAAACGCCAAAGAATTGAAAGAGGGAACAAAGTCTAAAGCCTATGTTTTTTGATTAGCCGTGTCGGTGTCGCTGGTGAGTTTCTCCATGTACATGTGTGTTATGTAATTAATGGTAGCTTCTTGACACCCCTCCTATGCAAAAGGATGCTCTCCTACCACAGCGTGTGGCTCAGGAGAAGAAGGAAGTGCACATTACTGCTGCTGGGCAGAAACACACAGCTGCCCGTACACAGAAGTCGCATGTACAAGTCGGACTGACACAAGCTGAAAGACTGTGTTGTGTTCGGTCACCCGTAGGCCTCGCTGCACCTCCGACGACGTCTGAATGGCAGATCTGTCTGAGGGGCAACGTGAGAGGAGCCCACTGTACTTTCGAAATTCATGCGACTGGAGTTGATTTTCATTTTGCGCTGGTGCACAGAGTCGTGGGGAGGAGCCGCGTCCAGATGTGCTGCTCACACTGAGCTGTGGGAGCCAAAAAAAAAAAATGCCTGCGATGGAATATTCGAGTGCCTTTTTCTGTCTATTCGAAGCAGTGGAGGGGGTCTCTTAGCTCCTTACTCTGACCAAAATGAAAATCAACCCACTGCGTCCACAAATCTTTTTTTTTTTTATTACTGTAACCTGTAAAAACACCAAAAACGACTAGAAATTAGCCAATCACAGTATTTCAAGAGGGAAATCTGTAAAAATGAATTTGGTTTAGTGTTCAGAAGTGGCTCCATGATTTCTTAAAACACCTGGTCACCGTAGTTCTGAAGCAAAAGTTATTCAAACAGGGGGAATTTGTTAGGGACTATTTTCAGCTGCGGATTAATACGGTGAGTGTTTCCAGCAGCGGCACGGTGTGTGGGTGGATTTTAATAGTTTTTGGAGCTCCGTGGTGTAAATACTTCTCAGCGCACTTTCATTGTTTTTGGTTTCTTTACAGGATTTATCCAGAGTAAAAAAAAAAACTAAAACTAACACATAGATTATCACTAGACGTGCAAAACATTCAAAGTACCAACAAGTAGTTTGACTGGAGAGTTTATTGTAAAATGTCGTCTGGTGACTCAGGGTGAACCGTCGATCATTTCAAACGAATCATCCCACCGCTAGAAGACTTAAAACGTTGCGATCATGCGTCGAGGCCAGTGCTTGTCATCACACCGCAGCTCCTGCTCAGTGATTCGTTGTGAATATATGAAAAGAGTTGTTGATTTGCGTGAAGGACCAAAAGCAGCTAAGAAATGAAATGTTTATTTTTTTTGTTTTTTTTTTAATGGCCAAAGAGCAGGTGAAAGAGGTGAATTGTGTATGCTGGGTGTTTTTTGTCCACATCTGTCAGTGTGCAACTATCACGCAAAATGTCTCTGACTGCATGTGGTTCGTTGTCTGTAAATACGTTTCATGTCGCTCTGCTGAGTGGGATTGTGAATATGTGCGGTATGCCAGAAAAGTAGATCAGAGGCACTAATAAATTATGCAAATACTGTGTGTTTGACATCCAGGCACCTATTAAAATTCATGTTGAATTCACCTGCTT